ACACACAGCCTCTTCCCAATATGCGTTTTTGCAATTTGCATATATGCAAAAACGCATAAAAATGGATTTCTGCAGAAACTTTACCATTGGAAGAATAAATGAAATTGGCTGTGCAGCAAGATTTTTATTGAAAATTTAGAATATTTCCATGTAGAAAAGTTGACAAAGAACGTGTTAAAGTTGCTGGAGAAATCATTGTTGGGCAGTTTTAGCGCGGTAGTTCATATCTTCGACTTCCGCGCTGCTTCTCCCAGTTATTTCCGCGTTGCTTCTCCCAGTCGTACGGGTATTCTGGTTGGCCTAGTTCGAATAACATCTTCCTTAGCATCTATAGATAGAAGAAGTACGAGATTTTGCAGCAGTAGTTTTCAGTTGGGTTATATTTTCAAAGAATGGGTTATCTTTTTTGTTGAAGTAAAGGAGCGGCCTGCTGGATTTTTATCATCTAAAATAAATTTTTTAAACTCATTTGTTTTCTTTTTATCACATATCGTTCCAACAACATAGTAGCAATAATTAAAAGATAAAGAATGTTCATCAGTATCTTCTCCATAACTCTTTTTTCCGTTTTTTCTCACCAAAATAATCAACAAAAGTACAGGTGAAATTTTTAAAATCTATCAAGAACACCATCGGTCAAGAATAATGAAAAGTAACAGGGAGTATGCGGAAGCGAACCTTGAAGAAAAGCTCATAATCGGGTTGACTTTTCTGACGCATCGATATAATGTACTTGAATAGTTCAAGATAGTAGCGTGGACATCCTCGGAACAGTTCCGCCATACCTTCTTTAGTGCGCGTATTCTCCTAAACAACCACCAAGCGAGTGATTTTAATGAATACAACAGATTAAGTTATGAAATCAGTGACCGTAATCTTAGCCAGAAGTAGCACAATATCCACCTTGGATCCGATGAGGTCGTCTGGATCTTCAATGTCTTTCCACGGTAGTGAACCCTTGGAAAACTCCACTTGTTGATACATCCAGGATTCTAAATCATCGCGACGTCCCGGTGCCTTCTGTTGATGTGCTGCGAGAGGAGCGTAACGTGCTGTGCCCTTGAACATTATCCGCTAAAATTGCTTTCTATATGCCTTGTTTATTGCGCAACATAGGCTTGTCATCAGTCAAGTACACTGCGGATCATAAATTTAATTGCATCTTGTTATGCGTTTTTGCATATATGCAAATGCGAAAGCGCATATTGCGACGACTCGGTGTGCGTGTGTGTGTGTGTGCGTCTGTCCAGGTATTTCAACTCGGTACCCAAGCAAGCTCCGGCGCGAAAATTTTTCGGGTGGGTTCCCCGGCGAAGTGTCACCCCAGGACCGCGGTACCAATCCTCACGTACGTCTTGGCTCCACGTACGAGCGCCTCAAAGTTTTGACGGGAAAATCGCTAACTTGGAAACCTGAAAAGCTAGAAAGCTGAAATTTTGGGATTATATACCCCGTCCACATAGAACCCAAAGATTTTAAATTCAGCCTCCAGGTGTGCTCGTTTTCCGTGAACGGTCCAGTGAGGGTTTCTGGCGCGAAAATCACCAGCTCGAGATCCAAGAAAGCTGGGGGCTGAAACTTTCAGCGATTGTCCCCAGTTCATCTACAACTTAAATTCATCAAATTTAGCCCCCCGTTACGCATGGTTATCATGTACGGCCGTGTGAAAATTTTTGGCGGAAAAATGGATAACTCCGGAATCAGGGAAGCTGAGAGGCTGAAACTTTCAAGAAATGTTCCTTGCTCACTTTCTACTTAAATTTACCAAATCCAGCCCCCAGTCATGCGTGATTACCACGTACGGCCCCCTGAAATTTTCTTACTGGATTTGGGTAACTCGGGAACTGAGAAAGCTGGGAACCTGGGATTTCAAGGAAATTTTCCCTGTCCAAATATAGCATGGACAAATAACTTCCCGAAATTCGAGGACCAGTATGTCAGAGGTTTCTAGCTAGCGGAATTTCGA